GAGGTTATTACTGTTATACATTGATAGTGTTGTGTATTATGAACAGTTAATGAGGTTATTACTCTGTTATACATTGATAATGTTGTGTATTATGAACAGTTAATGAGGTTATTACTCTGTTATACATTGATAATGTGTGTTGAACACTTAATGAGGTTATTACTCTGTTATACATTGATAGTGTTGTGTGTTGTGAACAGTTAATGAGATTATTACTGTTATACATTGATAGTGTTGTGTGTTATGAACAGTTAATGAGGTTATTACTCTGTTATACATTGATAGTGTTGTGAACAGACCTTCTTAATGACCTCCATCTGCTCTTCTCTCCACTCCGGTTTGTTCTTCTTGGCGTCAACAAAGAACTCGATGACCTTCTGCTCCAGCTGATCGGTGGCATCTGAGAACATAAAAAACACATCAAACTACTAACTCAAAGTAGAAAAACACACAGAGAGGTATTTATATTCTTTACTTTATAATAAATAACCTCTGGACAAATCAATCACACAACTATGTTTGTTTGTTTAAATCTCTGCACTATTGTGTAGTTAGACAATATTACTAAATAATTAATATCAGAGTAAACAATAGTGAGAATATTATGTTCTTACAGTTTATTTATGATGTGTTCTTATTCAAGAGATATAACATATTATCATATATTAATGTTTATTCTCATGTTATTAGATTGTTTCATTTAATGTGACATGTTTTGATTACTTTCTCACTTTAACATTTTATTCTTTAGATTCACTGAGTTCCATCATATTTTATGTCACTTTTATGTATTTTAACAAGTAATCTGAACCTCTATTATTGATTTGATCTATCGGGTTATAATCAGGGGATCCGTTACTAGGCGTAACCGGATATAAACAGATGGTGTGCAGCAAAAGAAGCTCCGGTGTTAACTACATCCGGTCTGTTAGCCGGCTAAGCTAACAAGCTAGAAGTCTGACGGTTAAATAGTGTTTTACTGAGACGTTAGCTTTCGTTAAATAGGGTGTTTAACGTCCATACTCTGTGTGTGTGTGTGGACACCGGAGATATCTGCCGTTAACCGGCGGTCCTTTACGTTACGTACTCTGAACCTGCAGGTCCATCTCTCTCATTTCCGTAAACCTGTCTCGGAGGTCCATGGGAAGCTGCTCGATCACTACCAACAAGAGAACAAGAGAAGAAGAAAAAAAGAGCCGTTAGCCACCTAGCTCACGCGGCTAACGGTCGGAGCCGCGAATTAACACACATTTAACATGGGAAAAGCGCCAAAAAAAGCCTCCGTCGCTTAGAACGTCCCATACTCACTCTCGAGGTAATCCTCCAGGTACAACATGGCGGCACAGTTTGAGTTTTGAGGCGTTTTACTGAAACAATTTTCTTCTTTCAATATGGCGCCGCTAGTCGCTCGTCTTCTCTCCAGACAAAAAAAAATACACCAAGAAATCGAGGTCGGAGCTGGTGACGCACACGGGCTGCCGGTGTTCTGATTGGTTGAAACTCACGCGGGGGCGTTGATTTGTGTTCTCAGAGCCAGATGCCTCATGGGAGATGTAGTCTGTTACTTGCGTAGCTCGTTTCTTTTGTATAAAAACCCTAAAATCAGTCCCCGACTTTATTTTTATTAAAATGATTTATATATTTTATTATTATATCGGGAGTAAACACATTTACCAATGATATTATTCTATGTTTCATGATACCTCTCATAATTAATCCACTATTCCCCTTCATCTCTTTGTCTTCTATTTAGAACAACTCAACGTGTCTTTGTTGTATTTATTATTGTAATGTTGTGTGTATTGTATACTTTATGTGTATATTTAAAGCAGAGTGCTGGAGGTGAAACTAAACATTTCACTGCACAATAAAGGCTGACGATACGTGACAAATACATTAAATAAAGCTGGAAACCTGAGATGTGGTCAAATCTATATTCAAAAGATAAACTTCAGATTCCACGATTTAACGATGTATGTAACATGTGTAGTGAAATACCACAGCATGGGCTCCTGAGGTTGTGTTGCTGATAATAATTAGAAAAAATAATTACAAAAGATAAAAAAACTAATCACAACAACAAATCTAAAACATATTTAGATAATATTCTGTGAAATCTACACAGAAACCCTAACCCCTTTATGACGTGTTGTTATTCAAGATATAAGATATATAACATCATATATTGGTGTTTCTGTTCATGTTATCATGGTTTTAAATATTGTATTGTTTAATTGAATGTGACATGTTTTGATTCTTTTCTCACTTTAACAAGTTTTCCTTTAGATTCACTGAGTTTCACATCATTTCTAATTCACTGTTATGTCAATATGTAATATTAACCTCTTATTATTGATTTAATGTTCCACATACTAACACAAGTATAAATACTGTATCTCTCATGTAGTTTATGTACTAATGTACTAAAAGTATACATACTGTATCTCTCATGTAGTTTATGT